ACCTCAGAGTACTAAAGTGAATCTTATCAGAACTATTTTTTGGCCAACACTATGCTATCAATGCCAAACGTGGACACTTACATCCTCCAATGAACGTAAAATTGTGACAACAGAGATGAAATGCCTTAGAAGAGCTGCAGGAGTTTCAGGGAAAGACAGAATACGAAATCATGAAATCAGACGAATGCTAGGAATAAAGTCAGTCTTACAGGTCATCAAAGAACAACAAATGAAGTGGTTTGGACACCTAACAAAAATGCCCTGGTACTATCTGCCACAGCGAGCCACACTTAAACGTTACAACGGGTATAGAGCGAGTGGAAGACCTCGGAAAATATGGAGTGATGGCATTAAGAACAGCCTTAAAGAAATGAACATCAGTCTAAATAGTGCTCTTGACAGAGCCCATCAATGAACATCTCCCCCCGACACTTCGATGAGGTACAAGGTGGAAGAGAAGAAGAAGAAGAAGAAGAAGAAGAAGAAGAAGAAGACAATAAAGTACAATACAGCTGGTTGCTGAAAATTTCATTGAAGGCCAAGCCCCTTTTGGACACTGTGTACTAAGTAGGTTTGTGAAGAATATTTATCCAGAATTATCCCATGAACTCTTCAATAATTGACATTAAGTGTCTTAGAATGATTGTTAATAATAATATTCCACCCTGGGAATTTTGCATACGTTGAAAAATTAACACTACCGTCGAGGCACTCTACAACATGGCTGAGCAGAATGACTCATTGATCCAGCTTCATTCTGGAAACCAACAAAGATTCTTCTTGTCAGGTCAGATGTACTTGTACACCATCTGATAGTATCCAAATAGTTTAGGTGAGGGATTGTGAACATATATTGAGTATTGAGGAGGTAAGCAAAGGGGTACATTGGAAAAGGATAATGATTAGACTTGTATCTACAAGATCCACTGAGTGCATAGACACTTGTGTCTGTTTGTCATTCATGTCTTGTCCTGTTATCTTAATTCTGAAAGTTCATTCATGCTTTATTTTAATTAAAACTATTAAAATTCATTTATTGATTTGAACTCCATCGCTTCATAGACTCGTTTAGAGTTTCCTTGTTGGTTGAACATTAGTTGTAGAAGATTGTTTCTTCTTTTTTTTTTTTTTTTGTAAGCTTCTCTTTAAATCCCTAAATAGTATAGATATGAAATTATTACAGAGGTGAGGACGTCCAGCCTGCCCAGTTCAACATTGTTGAGGAGGCGGCTGTCGAAGTTCTCTGTTTCCTCATCCCAGTGGTGGTGTGGCTATAACATTGTGAACTCTAGGGAATCCCCTGTAGATCAATACTCGAGCCACCAAGAAGTGTTAAACCACCGCGAAACACCATCCTATCTTTGTTAAACCGGCACTTGGTGACAAACTGATGAGAACTGGTGTCCTATTTGGCAATGATACATAAAATAGACTATAAACAGATCGTATAATGACTTATGAATATTAAATTAGCCTATACTGTCTGCTCTACTTTCCTTTGTTGAGGAATATACTTGAACTGTTGTGATAATAAAAGACCCAACATAAAATTGTTATTAGTAAAATGTGCCACTATCATGCGCCATAAGAAAATTTCATCTTTCAGGTCCACAAGAAGAGCTAGACCTAGTAATTTCCTCTCTGTTGAATCGCCATCCCCATGTGGGACCAGTTTTTTCGTCCTTCCTGGTTTTTGCTGGGGGGCACATACAACCTAACTATTGAACGGGGTTTCTGAGATCTCTCCACGAGTGATCATCATCCGAATGGTGGCACTTTGTGTAGCTGGGTGTTTATCGCTCAGTGGATGTGCTGGCGAGGTCAAAAGTCAGTCAGTATTCCTCTCTCAAGACGTTATAATCTAAAACATGTCAGAGGAAGGTATTCCTATTCCTGACTCTCCAGCCTCAACTCACTCATTGCCATGACATTAAAGTTTAATTTATCCTTTTCCTGTGCCGAAATCTATAATTTACCAACTGCGGTAATGTCGGTGACATACTATTTGTACATTAGGCAACGATACACTCAGTCGTATGCTCCGTCTTCCCCGATGCGCACGACTTTCCCTACCATATGAAGCCTATTTTAATATTTTTTCTTAAATATTTTAAGCTATTCAAAGTTTTTGACCAATGCATTTTATCAAATGAAACTATTCTTATGCAATAAATTCATGAATTTAACGTTAGAAGATAATTTTTACAAGCTGCATTAAACCATCTAAACATACGTCTGTGATCATAATGAACAATTAAACAAGAGACAATATCAATTGATTCCTAGTACGAAAACTGCTTAAAATGCACTCCTAAGCCAAAATGAGTACGTTACAGGTTTTGAAAGAGGCTTATCACAGACACCAGAACATTCCTGAAGTCGACTTTAATAACATAAAAACACTTTCTTTCCCCTGTAGATGTGTGTGTGTGTGTGTGTGTGTGTGTGTGTGTGTGTGTGTGTGTGTGTGTGTGTGTGTGTGTGTGTGTGTGTGTGTGTGTGTGTGTGTGTGTGATAATGTAGTGGTCTGTGTGAATTTGTAGCTCCATGTTTTTAAAAAAAGGTCTTATTAGTTTGTAAGTGAAATTTCATACTTTGGCATGTAAAAAACAGACCCAAATGTTATCAGTGTCAGTGGGCATGTCAGCGTAAATTGTGTGAGTTTTTATAATCTTTGTATTGCAGTGATCAGTTGTGTTTGTGGCCATATTGTTCAGCATAACTATTAATGTGCGCATGAGAAAGCAACAAAATTTGCCGTGAACACGGTTCAAAACACAACTGAAAACCCTATAAAAGTATAACGCAACACACACATAGAAATCACTTCATTTTCCAGCACACCCCTATTGTGTCTGTAGCGTTAAATTTAATGATCTTTATAACTGCTTTAATAATAATATTCTTTATTATTATTATAGAAGGTAGAAATTCACACTTAAACAGTTAATAGAAAAGAACATTGAATACAAAAAGAACTTATTTGTGGCATTCGTAGACCAGGAGAAGGCATTTGACAGAGTCGACAGACAATTATTATGGAAAATAATGGCAAGATATAGAGTAAGCGAACACCTCATCGAAGTGTGCAAAAGTTTATACAGGAATTGTAGAAGTGTAGTTAGAATAAATCAGGAAACATCTCATCCTTTCACAGTGACATCTGGAGTAAGACAGGGGTGTGTCTTATCACCACTGTTGTTTATCACCTACATCGACAGTATATGCATGAATGCCAAGCCCATGAATAAGGATCTTAGTAAGATAAACGAATGACCAGGCCTTGATAGCAGATACAGCCATGAAATTGCAACAACATCTAACATCCATGAATGAAGAATGTAAAACAAATAATATGAGAATCAACACTGAAAAGACAGAAGTAATGTCAATAGGAAAAAAGAAGACAGATCTAAACATAGCAATAGAATACAAAGGCATTAAACAGGCATCTGAGTTTAAATATCTGGGAACTACATTTACCGAAGATGGGAAATTGGATAAAGAAATTGACATTAGATGCAGTAAAGCAAACCAAGTATTGGGACAGCTAGCCCCCCTCTTACAGCATAAGACAATCCCAATCAGCACAAAGAGACATCTTATTCAAAGCATATTTATTCCAACTCTGTGCTACCAGTGCCAGACATGGTCACTCACAACAAACCATAAAAGAAAATTAGTAACCACGGAAATGAGATGCCTGAGAAGGGCTGTAGGAGTGACCATAAGAGATAAGATCAGGAATGAGATCATAAGAGAACAAGTCGGCACAGAACCAATTCTGGATTACATACAAAGACAGCAAGTGAAATGGTTTGCCCACTTAGAGAGAATGCCTTGTGACACCATACCATGCAAAGCATACATGGAAAGAGAAGAAGGACGTAGAGCACGGGGTAGACCAAGAACAAGATGGAAGGATAACATCAAAGAAACTCTACAACAGCACGATGTGCCTATGGTCGAGGCAGCCAGAAGAGCTAGAAACAGAACCTTATATCTTCCTCGACACCCACAGCGGTAAAAGAGGAAGTGAAGAAGAAGAAGAAGAAGAAGAAGAAGAAGAAGAAGAAGAAATCCATGGCGGGAGCATGCACAAAAAAAGTCTACCGATCTTCAGTCAGAGGCAGGCCTCGGAATTCTGCTGCGCTAATTGGACAAGACGTTATGGTAATTGCAGACGGTACTGAGTTTATGGTGATCTCGCGGTGGTAGCAAAAACCACCTAAGTGACAAATAGACGGTTAGTTTATCGGACAGACTTTAGCAGTTGGCAGAAGCACGGATAAACGTTGACCGGACAACTTTGGTTTAAGAGACTTTAAAATTCTTTTCCATTAGGCCCTCGGACTAGTGTATCGATGCATGTCCCACACTTCGTTCCGTTTTGTCAAAGCTAAATTGGAGCGGTCTCTCTGCAGCTTTGCCCGATCGCTTCATTACCCGTTTACACTCATTTTCTCGGAAACCTACATTCATGTCTTGTCCTGTTATCTTAATTCTGAAAGTTTATTCATGCTTTATTTTAATTAATTTGTTGATTTGAACTCCATCGCTTCATAGACTCGTGTAGAGTTTCCTTGTTGGTTGAACATTAGTTGTAGAAGATTGTTTTTTTCCTATTTTTTGTAAGCTCCTCTTTGAATCCCTAAATAATTGTATGTGGAGATAGCGATTATCCCTCTTACGCCCACCTCGACGGCGATGCCCTCATCGCTCCGCAGACCAGCTACCAGATTACCGTAGTTTTTTTTTTTTTTAGGTTGTACAGGTGTTGATATTCCATTCGCGACAAATGCGGTATTCTCAGCTCTGTCAGTATGAGCTAACGCTCTGCCGGGCGAGTGCAACACAACATTTTTCCTCAGCCCAGTCTTCCGTATTGGTTCGGGGTTACGTTTTAAAGCCATTCAGGTCACAGCCAGCTGCCAATCCCCACAGAGTCGAATATGTATGGAACGTATGCAGCTTTGTTGAATATATCGTCCTATATCTGTCTAGCGGTGATGAAGTGTCAGGACCTTGTTTTGGCGCCATGATAACATGCGAACAATACGTACTCGGGCGTTTGCTACATTTTGCACAAGGGACATGTCATGCCCTGTCTGATTGCATCCATGCTCTGTCTGATTGCATCCATGCCCTGTCTGATTGCTTCCATGCCCTGTCTGACTGCATCCATGCCCTGTCTGATTGCTTCCATGCCCTGTCTGATTGCATCCATGCCCTGTCTGACTGCATCCATGCCCTGTCTGATTGCATCCATGCCCTGTCTGATTGCATCCATGCCCTGTCTGATTGCATCCATGCCCTGTCTGATTGCATCCATGCCCTGTCTGATTGCATCCATGCCCTGTCTGATTGCATCCATGCCCTGTCTGATTGCATCCATGCCCTGTCTGACTGAATCCATGCCCTGTCTGATTGCATCCATGCCCTGTCTGATTGCATCCATGCCCTGTATGATTGTATCCATGCCCTGTCTGATTGCATCCATGCCCTGTCTGATTGCATCCATGCCCTGTCTGATTGCATCCATGCCCTGTCTGATTGCATCCATGCCCTGTCTGATTGCATCCATGCCCTGTCTGATTGTATCCATGCCCAGCGGATGCAAGTCGCTGAACGATGCCATAAGAGGCCTACACCATACTATTGGGAAATCTCGTGTGCCTAAAAAAACGATTGATGACGCAAAAACAAAATAACTGTCACTTCATTGGTTGAACCTTGAGGTATTCTTGTGTGCAATTTCGCACATCAACTATTTCAGTCCCAAAACAACGTATGATGCTTTGTTAGGTCTTCTGTGAATTTCACCAAAGAATGTAACACGTTCTCGTATTTTTTTTTTCATTTGACCAGAGCATACTAAGAAAATCTGCCTCTCATAGTACTTAGCTTTTTTGGAAGGAATATACTCATGGTTTGTCCTATCAGTTATTTAGACAAATGGGATTTTCTCGCAAATTCTTTTGGTGCGCAATAAGTATTCTTTCCAAGATGTAGACAGTCAACATTATGACCATGTATGTTCCTTTCAGTAGCTACGCGCAAAAGAAGAAGAATAAGAAGCACCCACCTCCCTGTCCTTTTTCCAACTTTCTTTTCAACCGTTCTCCACCCCCTCCCAACACCACCGCATCCTCTTTCCACTCACAACATGTATGCATGCATCAGTATAAACATTAGTATCAAAGAGGCGACGCACCTTCATGGATATGGTATTGCAGGACACAGAAATTACAGTTGACATCACTTGGTATTTTCACTTTTACTTTAGCCTTGTTGCTCTTGTGCAGACGGAATCGATACCCACTGCCATCCTCCAGGTTTACTGGGTGACGATCAAAGCAGTCTTGTGGTTCATGCTCCAGAGAGTTGTTTGATGGGCAGATTTTAAACTCGATGTAAGCTGGAAAAAAAAAAGATCTTTATTACATAAGCCAAAAACGTTTCCGTGAGGAAGTAAAATAATTTTACATTATATTTTTCAAGGTAACTATTAGGTAATTGCAGGTAAGTAAACAGTGACACAAACGAAAGTGACTCATTATAAAAAACTAAACCCAAACACAAACAACACAGTGAGCCCTCGTAGATTCCAGTACCGTGGTAGAGCAGTGACCAGAGGCTTGCTTGCCGGTCAAAAGGACTGGGATAGAATTTCCACCGTGGAGAATACGAAAACTGGTCAAGAGCGCGATAGCAACTGAGGAACTAATGGCGAAACAACAGCGATGACAGCTACTAAAACAACTCGAAGAACTGGCACAGCAATATTACCACCAATAGCTCAGGAGAAAGCCCAATCAATGGCAGTAATACCACCAACGGATGGCACAATGAAGAACATATTACCTTATCAGATCCAAGCCTGCATACTGAGAGGGGCACGACCTGGCCTGCCAGAGAGACACGGAAGACATCAAATACTAGCACCAAACACTACACAATGAAATAGCATTACCGTTTGTTGACATCATTATAACAGATATTGACTATGACAAGACTAGCTCCCTAGTCAAAAGCTGAACGGGGCTAATTCAAAGCAAACGGGGGTGGGGGTCGGGGGAAACCATATGGTTTTTACTAATAGACCTTGGCTCGCCGGTCGCTGTAGCTTAAAGTGAGAATCAGGAAATAACCTGAGATGTTGGCCATATCACTCATTTAGCGATGATAGGTTTTTAACATGTGTGTTTAATACTTGACCGAAACACCACTGGCGCTCATTATTACTGCTTACACACAACTCTGTTGTTGTATTACTTTATTGAACAAACACATACACACTAAGACATTTAACAACACGAAAACAGTTTATTACAATTTGTAAATATATACAGGTGAACAGAAATTAAATTTATGTCGATAAATGCGTTTACTATTATTACTTTTATTATTATTATTATTACTACTATAATTTGCAATTCTTTAGTACAAATGTCATTGTTTTCATGTTCACATTAATAATGGAATATTGTTTTAACAGTTCAAATATTTAGACAATAGACTGAAGCTGAGAAATGAATTAATCACGTTTGCTTTAATTCTCTTCAAGAAAATGGTTTCAGGTCTTTAACAAGTCGGTTTCCGACTGCAAATCACTAGGAGCATTGAAGAATGTGAATAAGATTTTCAAAGCAAGACAACTATCATGAATAGTAATTAAAATGAGAGGAAAGCAACCAACAGTACGGACACATTACAAAATTCACATACTTTGGGCAGGTAAAAATAAATGACAGAATGCGTGTGTGTGTGTGTGGTGTGGAGGGTGGGGTTGGGGGGGGGGGTGTTGACAAATGAAGGCATGTGACCAACAGTGACCACAAATATTTTCAACCATATGAGACACACACACACACACACACACACACACACACACACACACACACACATCATTAAAGAAACACGACATTAAAATTAAATTGTCAGATTCTTTATGTATTAGAAACTGATATAAAGAAGAAGAAAAAGAAGAAGAAGAAGAAGAAGAAGAGAAAGAAGAAGAAAAGAAGAAGAAGAAGAGAAAAAGAAGAAGGGGCAGAAGAAAAGAAGAAGAAAAGAAGAAAGAAGAAAGAAGAAGAAGAGAAGAAGAAGAAGAAAAAGAAGAAGAAGAAGAAAAAGAAGAAGAAGAAGAAGAAGAAGAAGAAGAAGAAGAAGAAGAAGAAAGAAGAAGAAGAAGAAGAAGAAGAAGAATAAGATTTATTGATTAACATACTGATTTCAGACTCAATAACATGCTAACTGGTAAGAGGCACTATTAAGTCTTTCAAGAAATACTGATAGAATTACCGTTGTCATTTTGGATGTTGCTTTGATCAACCTCAAAGATAGCAGATCCCCCAGCATTAAAGACTTTAGTGACTTCACCTCTCCCAAAGTTAGATCCATATTCCGTTAATTCCTGATGCTATAGATTTCACAAAAGTTAAACAAAATTCATAGTTTTAAGATTACCCAAGTTTGAATTAACCTTTTCTTTGCGGTTGTCGCCGAAAGCACCCCCACCATTACTAATACCACCATTATCATGTTAAATATTAAATGTTGAATTAAGAACAACATCACAGCTCTCGGGACATTCCCTATAAGCATTCCGTTCTCATCTTCAGCACCAGATGATATTAGTTACAGTCTGATTGTATATTCATCTCGCCTTTCACTTGGATGTTGAGCGTCAGCCAGAACCTTTGGTCATTCCTCGCAGTACCATTCTCCTGAGATCGAGAATGATCTATTTGGGCCTCTGCACCGTTTGCTCGTTCCCAATAGTCCCATACGACATCTATGCGTATGCTGCATCAGTTCATCCCCAAGTGGCGTAAAACCTGTCTATTCACACCGTTATCACCTTGTGAAAATATCCAAAGTCAATTGCAAAACAGACCATAGTTAGTCAAGATTAGATTCTAACTGAAACAACCTGAACCCTAAATTGACTAACATCTCAAGTTATCGGGGGCATGAAAACAGTGAACTCCATGCAGCAGTAAGAAAGCATTAAACCCGTGCGCTAAACCCACACACAACTTCCACAGTCAAACAGTTAATAAAGCCCGACAAAGACTATTCGAGGTTCTTCTACGATGGTTTTTTCTTCTTTGAGATTCTTCTATCACGATTCTGCTTCTATGATGTTTCTTCACTTGTTCAATGTTGACGAGTTAATTCGAGTATTATGTTTTCCGATTGTGCGGCTGAGATTAATGTAGAATAAAGTGAGAGCAGTGTTTAAGCGATTCTAGTGTTACACAAATATGCTAACATGTGTAGATGGACAGAGAATAAGTGAGAGACAGTAGACTGTAATCGACATCTTAAGACCAGGGTGGATGGATCAGGAGGCAGCATTATAGTCCAAGTTTAAGGTGGTGGGAGTTGGACACAAGAGACTACCGGACACATAGACGAGTCAAGAATACATATTAAGAGTGTTTCCCAGTGAGGTAAACGGACTAGCTGGGGTTCTTATCACAATTTCGGGTCTTGTCCCCCCTATTTACACATTACGCAGCTTTTCATTCATAAGTGATCAGCCGAGTCGACTTCTGCAAAAGTTAGAGGTGTGTCGCAGTGGATGTCTCCGATGCGCGTCATTTTATGACACACATTTACGACCTGGTTGAAATGAAAAGCCATCTTCGTCAAGTCTTAATCACTCATATCCTTCATGTGAGGAATGCCTGACTCCGTCTGACCCCGGCGAAATGTCTTTTGGTTTTTGCAATACATATATTTTATATTCCCCTAATCCTGATATCGTGATAATAATAATTATCATTTATGGTATTAGAGAGATTATCTCTAACTGACTTTCCAAGTTCCCTCTCATTAAAATTAATCTGTACTATAAATCTCAGCGATTTTGTTTCCCCTTTCTCATTATTACCATCGCTTTCGTCATTGCCATCATTCACCTATTTTCTTTATCTGAAATTAAGAAAACAATGAGGTATTTCTATGTTTACTGTGGTGTAATAAAGGAAATTCCTAGGGAGGTCCGAAGGGTTCCCTGAGATGACGTAGTGGCATTACAAGCCAATGAGAAACGGGTAAAGCACGTAAAGTGATATTCACGTGTGACACTGATCAGTCACCAGACCAAGTCCCGTGGGAAGGGAACAAGGGTTTCAAGGACAAATGAGATAGTGGCAGTTGGTGGTTAACCGTATAATAGGCAAGTGGTTTCGTATGGAGTGACTGAAGTGAACGTCAATTGTGATCTGTGGGAAGGAGGACAGTTATAAGTGTTGCAGTACTACCAGCACCATGTGCAGATTTGATTTTAGGGAACAAGAATGACTTGAAGAATGTAACTAAAGAAGACATAGTTGTATAGGAACAAGTGAACATTCCAGTGCCTGGAAATAATTAGAGTATGAAAGACAACCCTCTATACTCCAAAGAGTGTGTGAACTCAGCAAGAGAAGAAGAATGGTTATGAGAGTGCAAGAAGAGTGAACGAGCAAAAAGAAAAGCATATAAATGAGTCTGAGAGTATGGAAAGAATACATATTTTAGCAGCAGTAACCAGAAGCATGAAACTAAAGGATAAATATAATATAGAAGAAGAAAATCTTTAAATTCAATTGAACCCAATCACATTTGAAAATTTAAATACGAAGATAAAATTGCAACAAGGTCAAGGAGATGATAAAACACACCATAAACCCTTCAGGTTACCGAATGCCACACTTAAGATGGGGGAAATGCAAAATACAAATTTGTATTGCAGACAAATATTTTTTAGAGAATGTATTAAAAAGGTCCTAGAGGGATGAAACAAACAATCTTAGTAACATCATATTTAGAATGTATTAAAAAGGTCCTAGAGTGATTAAACAAACAATTTTACCAACATCATATTGAGATCAAGCATTGGTGATGGCCCATGATTTTATTTTGTCAGGTCATCTCAGGATTACTAAAGCCATATTGAGAATATTGTCAATATTTGGGGGGGGGGGGGGGGGGGAGGATTTGTAAAAGATATGAAAAATGTTATAAAATCACACGACATCTGTTTGATAACAACAACAACAACAAAAACGGGGTGGGGGTGGGCTAAACCCAAAAGATCCCAGTTCAGCCGAGTCTCATGGCAAACAGACCCTTCAAACAAGTGGCAATAGATGTCACTGGACTCCTGCCTGTTACATCATCTAAGAGCAACAAATTTATTTTAACCATGATTGATGTGGCTAGCAAGTGGCCTGAAGCGATTCTGTTAAACCTTATCACTAGTGAGTTCATACACAAGGCTTTGCTGTTTATTTTAGCAAGAATAGATTATCCTGAACAATTTGTTTCCGACAGGGGTACACAAATTACTTCATTCATAATAAAAGCAGTGAAAAAGTTATTGGGCATACGTCAAATATTCACAACCACATATCACGCACAAGCCGTAGCTGGTAGAGAACATAAATAAATCGTGGAAAACACGTTGGCAAGAATTACCTATGACAACCAGTCCACGCGGGACACACTACAATAACTACAGCGATCCTGTTTGCATAAAGGAAGATCCTGCACAGTTCCACAGGGATATCTCCGTTCGAACTGACAACTGGAGCTGAGCCAAGAGGGCCTTTAGAGGTTTATAAGACTATGATCATGGGACAAGATGAAAAAAGACAACAAAGTCCAAGACTACGAAAATGTGGTAAGCATAAAATAATGGCTGCATGTGAAGAGGCTAAAAAAGCAAGTGCTGAGGCAACATAAACAGAGGATGTATGCAAACCGAAATAACAAATTAATTGGATTCGAACCGCAGGACTAGGTATTGTTATCTAAGAAATCGAATAAGCTATGCATAGAGTGGTGTGGCCCCTACAAAGTAATAAGGAAAATTTGTTGATGTTAATTATGAAATTGATTGCAAAAGCAAATACAGTTATTTTTGAAAATGTGAATGCGTGCAACCTTGTTAATGAAGAGTTAACAGACGCAATAGATGACGAAATTCTAACACCGTCAGTAAAGGGTGAGATTAACTATAGGTCTTTGAAAATAAACCCGGATTTGTCATAAGAAAATAAATTGAAAATTGGGGAGGTCATTTTAAAAAAAATTAATATTTTTATAAAACTAAACCGAGGAAGACAGATGTAATTAAGTCAGACATCAAGTTGAACTCAACCAGTCCAGTGAAAGCCAGAAATTATTCGATTTCTTTTCATTATTTCGATAAAGTTCTAAATTGACTGAAACAGCTGCAAAATAATGGTATCATTAAAGATTCAACATCAAAATACAATTCACCAATGGTGATCGGAAAAATCCAGCAAGCCAGTGAGAAACTGGTAAAGCAAAGAGAACCGATATTCACCTGTGACACTGAATAGCTACAAGACCAGATCCCGTGGGAAGGGAACAAGGGTTTTGAAGGACAAAAGAGATAGAGACAGTTGTTTGTTGACAGTGTGAGAGGCAAGTGTTTTCTAATGGAGTGACTACATGAACGTAGATTGTGAGCTGTGGGAACGAGGACTTGGAACAGCAGAAATGTCTGGAGAGAATTGATTTTAAATTATTATGCCCAGTGACTGTGAACTTTATGGTACTGTGATCTAGAGGGGAATGAACTAGTCGTACTGAAAGATAATTGCATCTCTTGTCTAGTTGTAAAAAGACCATGGAAGAGTTTAGAACAACTGAAGTAGCGTCATCGTCATATTTTGACTATACCTCTGTGTATCCATATTTTACATCATAACGGAGGAAGTAGAGAGGTTGACATCAGCATAGACTCAGCATTCAGCTTTCCATAAGTATTAGGCAATCGTTACTAGTGTAGAACGAAATGGTCAGTGAAAGTGAAAAGTCTCAATTACTGGGTATACTTTTTTTTTTAAAATATTAATGTTGATTAGGAATCGACATCACAGCACTCAAGACACCTCCATAAGCGCTCCGTCCCCATCTTCAGCAGCAAGTAAAGAGTTAAAATTATGATGGTACCAGTAACTGTCTGATTATATACCCCTCTAGCCTTTTCCCTGAGTGTCGAGCGTCGGCCAGATCCCCTTGTAACTCCTCGCTGTGCCATTCTCCTAAGACCGTAATAATATGTCTGTTTATTGGCACTGATCCCTCGCTCCCAAAGAGCTCTCTCAACATCCAGCCTGCCATACATCAATTCATCACCAAGTCGTGCAGAACCGGCCAGTCTACCTGCTCATTTCCCAACACACCGGATTGAACTGGAGAAAATATCCAAAGGATGCTAACCACCCGGGACCTCAGAACTGATGCCTGCCACTCTGCACGAAGTATGCCTGTCTCCACCTTTCTCAGCATGCTCTGTGAGTCAGTTACAAATACGACACTTGTGTACAGTTGATTCTCAAGCCAGCGAAGGCTGCAGTCACTGCCTCCACCTCCATTCTCAAACTAGACGTTATGACATAATATGCCAGGTTTTGTTGCACCAAGTGACGTCCATTCGTCTTCGCTATGAACCCCCTATGCACTTCATCTGCCCCTCAACACAGAGCCTTCTGTATATACAAGCACTTCATCTGGGCGGGAATTGTCATGAATCATTTGTTGAATTTCTGATTCTCAAAGTATTAGAACCCTACACAAATTTGAAACCTGATCGGACACTTTGACCCACTCCTCTTCTCGCCTAAATTTATCAAGCCTGCACACATTTCCAAATGTGTCTTCAGCTTGCGTCATCAAAGACTTTCATTTTTTCAGTCTGTGACCCTTAACTCTATCCAGGATTTCATGCAGGAGGTGCCTCTTGTCTGCAGCTACTGCGAGATATGCTTTGCCTGCAGAACTTTGAGCCTATCGCATACATACTACCGGGGTATCTCTTGTACATCCCAAATTCACCCGCATGGCTTCATTCTGTATGCGTTCAAGTTTCATCTGCTGACTCTCTGATATGGTAAGTATGCCAAGTCCATAATTTATCACCGACAGGATCACATGCTGGAACATTGTGAACAACATTCTTTGTTCCATGTCCATTGCTGCCATAATATTGAGAGCACTGAGTCCTTTTTGGCATTTCACTGAAACTGCCTCTACATGATCACTGAAGGACAGGATTCTATCGAAAATGATACCCAGGTACCCCAGTTTGCTTTCTCTTTTGATGTTACTGTTATTAATTGTGAGGCTTGGAACATTAGCTCTTACAATTCTAATGTCCAGAGAGCACCACAAAACAGCTGCTTTTTCTGAGTTTATGACAGCACCCATTTCTGCACACCAGTCAGTCACTTTGTCTACAGTTGCCTGTAGATCTTGTGCTATCCGTTGCCTATTACTCCCCTGCCTATATGCAAGAACATCATCAGCAAATAACAACATCCTTTCAACATCCGGGGCTACAAGTTCTGCAATCTTGTATACACATTGAAGATCATCATTGAATCCTGGGGTAGTCCCAGGGCGATATTACATGGTTCTGATGTCCATGCAACCATACGTAAATGCAGGACAGCTGTTATCCAGTTCACAAGCCAAGGACAAAGCCCCCTTTTCCATGAATGCAGATATTGTAGGCATCCTTAAGATCAGTCATAAATCAGTAACGGTAAAGTAAACTTGTACAGCTCATCAAGAAAGTAACGCACAAGCCGCATTTTCTCAGATATATGTTTTCCTTACAGACATCCAAGTACATCGTTCTGACCCATGCGGGCTCCGTCCTCTGACAAAGAATTCTTCTCAGTGTCTGCTTGCTCAGTGCACCCATTAATAGTTGACTGGCATGTCATTTGTCGTTGTCCCACAGGCGTGCTTCCTCATTTAATAGCGATTTCAAACAGGCGATTCCATGACTCCCTTATCTGAAATTGTATGGAACGCAGTGCATTCAGCATGTTTGCCCTGCCCATAGTTCTGCCTCCACCAGCCACTGCAGTCATAACCAACCTGTTGACCCTTTCATTCCCATTTATCCCTGGAGTTTCCCGGTGAGTACAGGCAATATTTTTTCTTGATGTGTGATTTCTGGATGTTGTCAAGCAGTTCTAGTCAAAGTGGATCTTTTTAGGCAGGCTCACTGAGTAAGTCACTATCAATGAGTTTCTTCCTGCTGCGCCATCCATGCAAGTGACACTGTGACAGCTGCTATGTTCATCCTCATGCTAGAAGTAATTGAACTAAATGCCTGCCTTTCTTTTGCTACTGTCTTTCCACTCCCTGCGCTGTGTATACCCACTCATACCGCACTCCACGAATCACTGAGCATTTGTATGGAGCATGACGACACCTGATCAAGTGTGCTTGTTGATAAAGGCCTTTTTTTCAGCATCAGCTTGTGCTTGAATCCATTCTCTGCAACATCTGCCTAGGATGATTCTTACCTCGACGTGCTCCTTTCAGTTTTCTCAGAAATAATGGCGATGATTACAGTGAAGAATCTAACGATGATCATAATTATGATAATAAAGATGATGACTATAACTAACAATTAAAGCTGTTCTTTATTGATGATGTTGCTATGTTATTTCTAATTACGACTGTGGTAAAAATCTTGACAATGGTAGTAAGTGAGTGATCTTGTGCTTACTTTATGTCCTCCACAATAGTGCGCGTTTTCTTCTGACGGGGCAGGGATCGGATAGCCGCGTTTCCACAGTGTTCCTCTACTGGCAGGATCCAGCAGTCTTGCTTCAACGGGATGCAGATGATGCCATAAGGAAACCAGAGCTATCGCTACCCCAACTACCGCATGCTTGAGTATCATATTACCGAACTATTCAGTGCCCCGGCGTGTTTTTCTCTTTTCTCTGAGGATAAACATGGTGATCCATGAGAAAGTGCTGCATACAGGAGTCAGTGAGAAAATCTATTGCTCATAATTAAACAAGTATTGGGGGGGGGGGGGGGGGGGGGGAACTGGAAAAGTACCTAGGAAACCAAGCAAGTAAAATAAGCATGCAATAAAGTGGCTTCAAAAACAGTTAGATTCCAAATAATGATAGAGGAACACTGGAACAGAAAATGTTGCCCAAAAATATACACTGCAAAGCGGAAACACGGATATGCTCAATCGCAGAACGATTCAAAGTTGACAAGCTAATTAAAAGCAACGTAAATGTAAATGAACTGTAATGCAACACTAACAATAACAAAACAGACCCAACAGAAGCGAAACGAATTAAAAATGTTTACTAAAATTCAAATGTTAAATAACAAAAAAAGGAGCAAGATAATTTTGAACAAGAGTATATAATGGATGTAACTATAAAATATAGACGTCGTTACCTGGGATACGAATCAACGGCTGGTGTGTGAGTGTGTGTGTGTGTGTGTGAGTACGCTCGTGTGTGTGTGCATCTACTTGTTGACTTTTCCATGAGAAAAAGGCTATAATGTTGACAGGAAGACAACATAGACAATCCAGACTTTACTTCCAGCTCACCGTCAGAGACTCATCGTTACCCACCAGCCAAGTCTGCATAACTCATCTTGGTCCTCGCGATGTCGGTGTGAAGTACAAACCGGGAGAATGCTCTCGCTTATGTGATTCAAATATGTGAATTTCCAAGGATAATGATTTTTCTTTGTCCAGTGTTTGTCAGGGGCAGCCTGTCTTTCGTTTCCCGCTTGGTTTGTACACCTTTCACCGTACAATATTGACTACACCTGCTTTATCCAGGCTTTTTCTAATGCTTCACGTTCCACTTGGTTCGATCGTTCATCTCACACCCAAATGCTTAGGTGTGTTAATCAGATAAGGAAGGTGCATCGGGACTTCGGAATTATTTCTACTCATTGAGAAGGGCGACTGACTGTTGTTATTCCCCGAAGCATGCCCATGGTGTACAATACGATGGCTCCATGTATACTGCTTGTTCTGCTGCACACGAAAGGGCTCTGTAATTGGTGATTATCTTCATGGTTATGCTTGATTTAATTGCCTGGTAGGCGCCACCATGCGTTTTTATAGTTCTGTCGATCCTTTATGCTAGGTATGGCCAGACATACCTTGACCGGCGCTTCACTGACCTTTATGTGTAAATGACATCTTCCGGATCTTCTGTCAGCGTTATTATGTTAGTAATGTCCACGAGGAAGGGATTCTGATTTCTAAAGTAACCCCCCCCCCCCCCCCCCCATTTTTGCGCATCCTGTCTCATCCCGTGTTGACGTTCACAGTACTGGAAAGTTGCGACTTGTTTCTGTGGGCTTGTGTGATTGACAAAATTGTCTTCGTAAGTATCCTTAGGGAATATATCCGCTTACTTGATGTCCGAGCACACACGCAAGACCGAAAGCCATCTTGCTAGAGGAGACTTGAGTGAGATAAAGACGATTCTGTATCACGTTCTCTGTTAGTGATTATGGTTAATTATGTATCAATAAAAGGTGAGTTGCGTATCTTTTACAGGACGTTGCAGAACCAACCCCAATAGCCCCTGGCTGTTGTGTGGTTTTTCCAGGCAAATTTACGTCCAGTAGTTTGCCTTTGCTTTCTGGACGATCGCCTTTCTTGATTCCACTGTCGAAACCAACGCAAGGCGCATGACCCGCAGCTGGGATCGAACCGGGCATTACTAAGCGTTAGCATCGATTTAGCCACAGAGCCGACATTTATCATTAAAACAGATCAAATATGTCTGTATCAGTGCCTACTCCAGTATCTCGCCATGTTAGATTATAGTGTTATTGCCCCCCTGACCTTCCTTTGGGGTTGAAGCCGCCATAGATGATGGTGTTTGTGGTTGCAGACTCGAGTATGCCACTTAAAACTGCCAACTTTGTTTTCCTTGCCCACTTTTGGTACTGCTTCCAAAATAAATGCATGAAAAAAAAAAATACTACTGAACATAAAATTGGATGAATTCAAGAGGGATGTTTTAAATGACGTACTTAAACATTCAATAACTAGTGGCTGCATAGAATAAGGGAAATTAAATGGTTTGATATAATCACAAATTTAGAGCTTTGTGAGAGAACTAAACAAGTTCCAATGGACCAAGAGGTGATGAAAAGACGTTGACGCTGGATAGGACACATGTTGAGAAAACTTGAGAACAGCACAACTAGAATGTCTTTGTACTGGAATTCACAGGGGCATAGAGATGAAGGAAGACCTAAAACACATGGAGAACGGAGCTAGAGAGTGACATTAAACAGATGTGAAGGACACGAGGAGACGTGCATGTAATAGCTAAGGATAGAAAGACTTGATCTGAGTTGGTTGTTCCTGTGCTCCATTTAGGGGATTTGAGGCAGAAGAAGGAGAATTAAGTGAAATGTCTAGTAACACTAGCTATAAGACAGAGAAGATTACTCTATATTAGACACATCATGAGGAGAATCGAGCAGAAAATCACCATACACATTAAAATGGAAAATAGAAGGATTAAGGAGGGGAGAACGCCCTAAAGAAACCCTAAATCAAAGGTAAATGAGAGAGGCCAAAGGATCTGGGCTGGATCCCATCCATGATTTTGACTTTTAGTGCACATGATAGAACGGAATGGAGGAATATACTGTAACATAGAGCCCTATCTGATATATAATGGCATAAAAGGATAAAGAAAGTGATTGGTACTACATGTAGAGTTGTGGACTAATGTGAAAGATTTCATTTAACCACATCTACATTTCAATGTTAGAACTCTCTATGGTATAAGGAGAACAATGGAGTAGCAAGGGAAATGAAACATTATAGAATTAGCATTTGAGGGTTATGTGAAACTAGATGGATTGGGCAGGGAAAAGTATTCTAAATTCAGGGGAAACTATTTTTTCAGGACACAGAGAAAAATTCACCCCACAGCGAACGAGTGACCCTGATGCTATTGAAAGAAGCCGACAGGGCACTAATATAATGGGAAGCTGTGAGTCCGAGACTAACAAGAGCGTCATTTAGAACAGCGAAACAGAAGGTAAACATGTCGGTTATACAGTGTTACGCACCAACAAATGATAAAAATGCATCTGTTAAGGAAGAATTGTACACGCAGCTTCAAAATATTATAAATAATGAAAGAAAGGGAATATAAAAATTTTCAAAATTTTCAGAAACTAATAAGAAAATTAGGAGGCGTATAAGGGCAAATAAAGCGAAATAATTAGATGACCTAACACAAGAAGGGGAGACAGTAGCAGCAAAAGGAAACTCAGAGACCTTTAAAGTAACACAGTAGGTAAATACAGTCAACCAACTGCATCAATCAAAAGCAATCAATGAAAGGTACTTACCAACACTGAAGATGAGATGGACAGATGGGCTGAGTATTTTGAAATACTTGTAAATAAACCAGCCCTAGAGGTACCTCCAGATCTCCAGCCTTTAGAAAAGGAATTGGATATCAATTGGTATACACCATTTAAATAGAAAAATTAGAAAAAAATAGCAATTTTCTTGAGGAAGGAACGGCGGCAGTTCCAGATGGTATCCCAACAGAAGCTATTAAGGCCACTATAAACGATCAATAGAACTGCAACACAAATTATTTAGTAAAGTCTGGGAGACCGAGAAAATAACAGCAGACAGGAAAGAATGATATCTTGTGAAACTACCCCCAAAAAACTGATCTACAGGAGCGTGAGAACTATAGATGAATTATGTTGCTGTCAGTTCCTGGATCATTTTGGAAAGACTAAAAGATGCTATTGATAAAACGCTAAGAGATGAATAAGCAGGTTTTAGGTCAAACAGATCCTGTACTGACCAGATAGCCACATTACGAATAAAAATAGAGCAAAGCATTGAACTGAACTCACCACTTTACATGCGAAGAGTTGTAATGCTGTGGATACCATCACATTGTGGAGTGCCTGGAAATGAGAAAGCTGATCAACTGGTAGGAGAAGGTGCGACAAAAGTGCAGCCGGATGTACCAGTCACATACCACCAAAAGAAAAGAATCATTAAATCACTCAGGAAACCACCAGCCCCAGCACAAGACGACTATTTTATTTTGGACAGATCAGAACAATTCATTATCCTCCGCCTCAGAACAGTGCACAACCGATTTCGTAACCACATGTACACAACATTCAAGATAGGTGTATCAGCCATGTGCACCTGTGGAAAGGTGCCCTAGACAGCAGAGCATGTACTCCAGAACTGCACCGAATTTGACACATTAAGGCAAACCTTTTGGCCAGAAAGAACAACAATGGAACGTAAACTCTATAGACCACTGAAAGAATTAACAACAACAATGAAATTTATACAAGAGACAAAATTACTCATATAGACAACTTATTTCAGGCGAACGAAAGAAGAAGAAGAAGACCGCTTTACATTTAGTAGACTAAGAAAAAGTTTTTGACCGCATTGACATGAAATGTCGAGTTCGTCATGAGGGAAAGCATACAGATGCATTTGAATTTCCAAAAAAAGTTGTGCGACAGGGATATCTTTTGTTGCTTCTCCTATTTTTACTGGAAATATATATGAGTAGGAAGACAGCAACTGCTAACATCAAAAATTGAATTTATTAGAAAACAGCACGACGATCTGGACTTCGCTGAAGATATTTCTTCTCTGTCCCACTCAGATGCAAGACAAATAAAATCGACTTGATGCGAGATCACAATAGCTAGGTCTGAAAATCGACAAGAGAAAGACAAAGATAATGAGAATATATCAGGCAGATAGTAATGTGATTTCTATTAATAGTACCCCACTCAAAGATGTGGAATTGTACATCTATTTAGGACGTACACTTAGATAAAGTTGGGGTGCGGGGTGGGGGCTGACAGAGATATTAAAATACGAAT